GGTCCATGGTCATCCATATCGTGTCGTCTCTAAATGGGTCAATTTGTCCCATGTACTTCAGTGAGAGAATAAAAACACAAAAAAAATGAGACACACATGCAATAGCATGCAATTATGACTGTTTTGAATGCTTTACATGTAACTTTAGCAACAGTGTACTTTATAAACAGCTCCACGACCTTGTGTCATAAACACATAGAGTTTTTTCAGCTTTATATAAGGACAGAGTTTGAATTTAGGAGTCAGATTTCTAGCACAGGTGTAAGATGCATCACTGTAGTCAGTGTAGACAGACAGGCAGTAATATGATTTTGCGATATATGTGGATACAAAACTGAACAAACAGTAATGTGTATAGCTTAATTTGGTGCTGTGATAAGGGTGAATTGCAACCACAGAATGCAGGAAAAAGGAAAACCTCCTCAGCTTTCTAAGAGACACTTCCTGTGTGATGCTGTGGTATTTACACACATTAATATGTCCCGTTTCAAATGTAATCATTTACTATCAGGCTTATACTGTATGCCTTCAAAGGCTTACATCTGTTACAAGCAACACAAAAAAGAGCTCTGAGGTCTATGTTTATCTTGTTAAAATAATTACAAGGCATGAGCTTCATGCTATCTGTCTATAGTTATCAGCTATCATGATCATAAACATTTTCATAAATAAATTAGCAGCTAGCAACAGAAGCTTATAAAGTCAACATGAAATCAAAACTGACCCGATTTACTTCATGGTCTTACAGTTGGCGCCAAAAACACTCCGAAATATGTAAAATTACTTAAGTAAAATTGGTTTCGAAACATTTCCTCACCTCTGCATGGTATGGATCCTCTCCAGCCATGATTCCTGTGGAGAAAAGTCAAACAAATTATTTCACATTTCATGTTCGTATTCTTATTCAGACAGTGGCCAAAAGTAGTCAAACACTGAAAATATAAAATATCTAGAAAATATGAAGGGAAGTGAAAAGCTAATTCGTTATTGGTTACACAATTACTAGAGGTGTTTTGTTCATTTGCGAATCTGTGTTTTTTGAACGAATCTTTTAAATTAATCGTTCTCGTTCACTTCCAAACTGAAATTTTCGTTACATGAAGAAGTCACTCCGCATCGAAGCAGCTTTTCTGCCTTCAAAGATTGAATATAGGCTAGTGCAAGTATTCAAGTGCGGTGTTTGAATCAATACGCCTTTCAATTAGTGTTTCTTTTAGTCTGAACAAAGCTCGAGCTGCACTACCTAGCGAGACTTGACTTGTTCATTCAGTTCGTTAACGAACGACATTTTTAAAGGGGTCATATGATGTGATTTCAATTTTTCCTTTCTCTTTGAAGTGTTACAAGCTCTTGGTGCATAAAGAAGATCTGTAAAGTTGCAAAGACTAAAGTCCCAAATCCAAAGAGATATTCTTTATAAAAGTTAAGAGTCAACCACGCCTATCTAAAACGGCTCGTTCTAACATGCCCCCACATGTCTACGTCACGATGTGGGAAGATTTGCATAACGCCGCCAAAATGTTCACGCAAAGAAAGAAGGCATAACTTTTATTCTCGCTGTAGTATTGTTGCTGCCACCATTTCGTGAAGCCGCTGTGTGTTTCGTTGTGAAAGCGAAACTACTTTGTTTGGCCTTCCAAAAGAGGACAATATCCGCTTCGTCATGCCTAGAGCTGATCCGTGCTGGTCGCTGAGGAAATACATCAACTTTGCGCTGTGGATC